TCAAAAGAAGAAAAGGAAATAAAGAAAAATGTTTAGCTTGGCAGTGGTGGCACATGTCTTTAATCCCAGTACTCCGGGAGGCAAAAACAGGGGGATCACTGTGAATTTGAAGTCAGCCTGGTCTACAGAGTGAGTTCTAGGGCAGCCAGGGCTACACTGAGAAACCCTGTCTCAGAGAGAGACGGAGAGATGGAGGGGAGGGACCTTTGTGTATGTGTGGGGGGGGGGTTAGAATGTCACTGGGAAAAATGAGGTCACTAGAGGTGTCACTAGAAAGCTGTATCAGGACCCTGGTTCCCACTCGTCTGCCGTGATGTGAACAGCATCTGTCACACGCTTCAGCCACCTTGATCTGCACTTCCCTACCATGGTGGACTTGTCCCTTTGAAATCTAGAGCCAAAATAAATGTTTGTCTTCTTTTACCCAGGTACTATGGTCACAATGATGCAAAAATAACTGTTCATAAATTCAAATATGGGTGTGAGAGAGACAGAGACAGAGACAGAGAGAGAGAGACAGAGACAGAGACAGTATGACACCAAGTCCAGGCAAAGGGTTGTGATTCCCAAGGAACCTGAAAATTAGAATTACCAGTCTGGAGGAGCAGGAGAGAGAACCCAGAAGATTGGAGGTTGCTAGAGGTGATGTCAGTTCTGCCTAAGAGGAGAGTACCATCTGGCTGCACAGTCAGAACATTAGTCAAGACAAAGATGGCTGCTCAGGTGCCCACAAAGCTTCAGGGCTCAGGGCTCAGGGCCCAGAGGAAGCTAGCAGGAGGAAGAATCCAAAAGCAGATCCAAGGACAGAAGATGGTGAGGAAGATTTGTCACCAAGAAATGGCATGTAGGCCCCAAGTACTCCACAGCTGCGGACAGGAACCTAGTGCTAAGCTGCAAGAGTGCTGACGTGTGTAACACCCAGGGACATTGAAATCTACATTTCTGAATAAAGAAAAGTGGTATCCGAAGCCAAGAATGGGCAGTAAGATGCCCTGATGTTCAATTGATTGGTTGATTGATTGCAGTATTGGGGATTAATCCCAGAGCTTTAAGCATACAAGACAAGTGTCCTACCACTAAGTGACACCTCCAACTGGTATTCATTTCAGTTGGCTTCACTTCAAACATGTGACAGCTATCTTTGTATTAAATTTTCATTAAATGTCCTGTACCTTTGATTCTGTTTTAAAAATAATGAACAACTTCTTTGAACCAGGCTTGAGGTTAAAGCCTGAGAGAATGAGGAATCCAGCACAGCTGCTGATCCCAAGAAGTTTCCAAAACGGTCTCCTGTGCATACTCTAAGGGGAAAGTCCCAGGGGCATCCTCTGAGGGTAGAAATGGGGTCAGCGGGTGCTCCCAGCTGAGCAACTGCTTCTCTCATGGCCAGTTCTCCTCTCCTTTCCCTACCTCACAGAGGGTGGGACAGTCTGGTTAGCTTTGTAATCTCAACCACAGAGAGCTGCTCCACCCTTTGTCCCAGAGAAACTCCGGCTTGTCCTGTTATTATTGCCACATGATACCTGGTGCCATCTGATAAGGACCTGTTTCAAAACTGGGCTCCTAATCCCTGCCAAAGTGAACAAGCTGGGCCCAGCTGAGGGCTGAGTAAGGAGCCATGAAGTGAAAGTCAAAGGAGCTCAGCAGGCACCTAGGATGAGATCACACGCACACACGGGTGCATATCTTGTGTGCATTGCAAAGATATGCACAGACATGCTCATGTAAGCGCAGTGACAGAAGCATTCCTACACTTCCACGCCTGGTTTCTAGAACAAGAAAGTCATCCTGAATGCAGCACATTGGAAAACAGTCACAAGAAATTCAAGAGCTTCCCATAAGAAGATGGACAGGGAAGGGTTCGGTTTCCTGTTCTTACACAGAGATACGCCCAGGTGGAATGTCCTAGGTAGGTTTCTGTTGCTGGGATAAACATTACCTGAGGAACTTGGGCTGGAAAGGAATTATTTCACCTCACATGTTCCTGTCCATCATCGGTGGAATCTAGGACAGGAGCTCACAACAGGAACCTGGACGTGGGAAAAGAAGCAGAGGCCATGAGAGAACTCTTACTGGCTTGCTCCCTGTGGCTTCCTTGGCTACTTTCATGTAGACCCCAGGCCCACTTGTCCAGGGATGACACTGACCACAGAAGTAGGACCCTCCTGCACCAATTAGCAATTAAGAAAATGCTTTACAGGCTTGCCCACAGGCCAGTCTGATGGAGGCCATTCTTCAGTTGAGATTCTTTCTTCCCAGATATGTCTAGGTTTGTGTCACACTGACAAAAGCTACGACATGAACGTAGTCCATTGGTCTGTGTCTGGAAAATGACAGCTGTAGGCACCACTCAGCCCAGGTGTAGGTCCCAAACAGGTAGAGATGTTCTAGAACTAAGCTAGTTTGGCATCCCTGTTAGGATGGTGCTAACAGATGAGGATTTCCAAAAACATACCTTCTTCCACATCTCTCCCCTCATCCTGCCTCCCTCCCTTCTCCTTCCCCATCTCCCTTCCATTTCACACACAGCCATTCAGAGTTCTTTTTGTGTAACTCCCCACTGGGTAGAAAAGCCTATTTGTGTTCTTGGAGGCCCCATCCCAACTACCCAGAGAGGAAATCTTTCTGAAATCCACTGTTGCAGCATTTGCCCTGGGGGAGATTACACTCCTCATGTTTATTTTGGTCTGCAGAGCATTTGTGGAGTCCTGCTCCATGTGACCTTCTGAAGAGCAAGCAAGGGGCACAAGGAGCCCACAAGGTCCCGAAGGGGGGGGCAGAGGGCAACAGGAAGCACTTAGAAGGTTTGGTGAAAGCTTACACGTGTATAATGAGCACCTGCATGATGGATTGTTCTTCCAGTCTGTTGTAGAATTCACTGGGAACCAGTTTGAAATAGACAGGATGTTTATAGTCTCAAAGAATCTTCCTGAAGAAGTAACATCATGCCATCATGCGCCTCCCAGCATGATCCACTGAGAACGCATTATTTATGTAGCGATTGTGCCCAAATTTAATTTGAACCTAATCACAAGAGACAAATTAGGCAGGCCCATGTGAGAAGCATGCTAACAACTGCATTCTTCCAAAATGATCACAGAATGACTCAGACCCTTCCCCCATTAGTTCTGGGGGGGGGATACACACTGAGTCAGGAGTCTGTCAAGTCAGGAGTCTATCAAGTCAGGAGTCTGTCAAAGCAGGATCTCACGCTATTTATTTCAACAGGCAGGAACTTACATAGGGCTGAGGTAAGGGATGGGAATCTTAGGATGGGGTAAGGTGACCTGAGGAGTAAGGGCCAATAGTATTCCACCAAGCTGGCAGGTAGCTAGGCAGGGGGCAATCTTGCAGCAGATCTGGCTGAGTCACCCCCACGTGGAGGTTACAGGTTAGAGACAGGTCGCCAAACTCTAGCCAGGCTCAGGAGGTTACACTGGGCTTCACATCCGAGCCTTTCTTAGGCCCAACACATACATACCTGTAACCCACACTCAGGAGGTGGAGGTAGGAGGGTTGAGAGTTTGAAGTCAGCCTGGGCTACACAGCAAAATACTGACAAAAATAAAATAAAAGGAGGGAAAACCCACCATGTGGAAGAAAATACTGAAGAGCCATTCCAGATCAATGGCAACTGTGGCATGGCCTGGTGTGTGAACTGAAGGGGAAGGGGGAATCAGTTCTTCTAGTCTGAGATAATTATGGCCCCTGGTCAGGTTTGAGTGTGGATTGACTATCAGATCACAGGACTAATTAATGCTGAGATTGCTGCACATGATCATAGCTTTGTGGTTATGTGAGAGAAGCTCCTATCCTTAGAGATAAAGTATCAAACACCCGAGGTCAAATACTCAAATGTTCCAGCCAAAATAATGACAACCACGTTGACAAATGGAGAAAGAATAAACAGAGAAAGCAAATATGGGAAGGAATCACTCTTTAGCCAATTTGAAGATGATTTGGAGTTCAGGCAAGCCTTTAAATTTAATTTAATGTGTACGAATGTTTGTCTGCCTGCATGTCTGTGCATCGTGTGTGTACCTGGTGCCTGCAGAGTCCAGCAAAAGTCTGAGTTCCCTGAACTGGAGATACTCACACCTGCGAGCCGCCATGTGGGTGCTGGGGATGGAACCCAAGTCCTCTGGAAGAACAGCCCATGCTCTTAACTGCTGAGCCATCTCTCCAGCCCCCTAGCAAATTTTCTGTGAGGTTGTTTTCAAAGTAAGCTTAAGAAAGGCTGCTCTAGTGTTAAATTCAGGAGCACAGCATAGAAGCAAGATGGCATAAGCATGTTGCTCCAGCTAACTTGGGAGGTTGAGGCAGGAGGATTCTGAGTTCAATATCTACCTATACTACAGAGTGAGTTCAAAGCCAGATTGGGAAACAATGAAGTCTTGTCTCAAATAAAAAGTGGAAGCCGGGTGGTGGTGGCGCATGCCTTTAATCCCAGCACTCGGGAGGCAGAGGCAGGCGGATCTCTGTGAGTTCAAGGCCGGGCTGGACCGATAGCCTCCAAAACAATACAGAGAAACCCTGTCTCGTAAAAACCAAAAAGTGGAAAGGGGGCTGGGGATGTGGCTCAGAGGTAAAGTATTTACCTAGCAGCCATAAGGCCCTGGATTCAGTCATCAGTAAGGAAAACAACTACTATAGGTGCAGACTCATAAAGAAAAAAAGTAGTTGGCACGTATAGTGCTGTGCAGTGTGCTGGGCAGCATCTCGGCCACCGTATCTGATAAGGGTATAGTTATCATACCCATTTTACAGATGTACACACTCACTGGACTCACCAGAGTTAGGCAGAGACTGGGATTTAAGAAGAGGAAAGTAGGCTCAGAGAACTCTTTTGCACTGTTGGGTGTGTGTATATAAACCTCAGGCTGAGTCACACACCTGGCCTCAAGTTCTATATTCCCTGTGTTACTGACCTCAGGCAGCCGGACAGCCTCAATGGCCTGAGAGTTTTAACTTTTTCTTTCTTGCTTTGTGTTTTCTTACAGGTGCCTGGAGATGTTTGTTTATGCCACAGCCCAGTCACATCCCCTGGTATTACCGGACTGCCCATGTTGAAAGGGCCTGTTCAGCTCTGAATGCCCTGGGAGGAAGTTGCTCAACCTGCATGGAAACCAAAACCCTCACTCTGGTTTCCTCTGAAAAACGTTGCAGCAATTTCTTAGCTGGCAGTGGCAGAGACCTGGCCATTGCCTAGACCTCGAGCCATCCAACTGGCCATTTTGTAATCATGGATACATCTGGCAGAAGTTCATTGTTTGTTTGTTTGTTTATTTATAGGCTAAATTTCACTCTGTATCTAAGGGGGCTCAAGCTGACAGCTCCCAATCAGCCTCCAGGTACTAGAAGTACAAGTGTGCCTCACCACACCTCACTAATTCCAGATTTTTCAGTTTTCCTACTAAGTCTTACAATAAATTAAAGTGGGACTGAGTTTTCCAGCAATGGTGATGCACATCTTTAATCCTAGCACTTGGGAGCAGAGGCAGGCAGATCTCTGTGAGTTTGAGGCCAGCCTGGTCTATCTAGGACAGCCAAGGCTGTTGGACAGAGAAACCCTATCTCAAAAAGCCAAACAGCAGCAGTAAAAACAACAAAAACAAAAAAAGAAAGTGGGGCTGTGCTCTTAGCAGCCTCAGTTTCCTTCGTCATACATGTCCTGAGGCAGGTGTGTGTCCTCACTAAAAAATACTGAGAGGGAGGCTGGAAGGAACCTAGAGGCTGCTGATGGGCTCCACCCTGACATTTCACACATATGTGTCATTCACTCGTGTCTGTGCCCCCTGCTGCCCTAGTTCATTCCTCCATCCTCATGCTGTCCCTTTCCCTCCCTCAGTCAGCCCTTCTTTCTGGGTTCATGTCATGGCTATGTATGTGTAGCTGAAATCTAGATTCTGGTATTTCTTTATTCTCCCATTAGCCTCTCTTGTCCATTCTTGTCTCCCCTGTCTCTATCCCCCCACTCACTGTTCCTCTTCTTTCTCTAAGACATTTATTAACTTATTTATTGTGTGTGTTCATGTATGTACAGGTACTTGTGACCATGTGCACACATGAACGTGGAGACCAACCTGTGCTATTGCTCTTGAGGTGATGCCCATCTTGGTTTTTTGTTGGAGGTGGGGGAGCTTTGTTTCTTTTTACTTTCATTTACTCCGTATGTGTTCACATGCCGCAGCCCTTGTATGAGGTCAGAGGATATCTTGTAGGAGTCATCATCTCCTTCCACTCTTTGGGACCTGGGGATTGAACTCAGGTTTTCAAGCTTGGTGGCAAGCATCTTCACCCAGTGAGCCTTCTCACAGTTCCTTCCTAGTTCCCCTTCTGCTTTCATCACACACACACACACACACACACACACACACACACACACACACGTGCACGAGCGCATGGGCGCTTCTAGATTCCTAACATGAGTGAAAACCTGGACATAGATATTCTTTTTGTGTTTGTTTGTTTATTTGTTTTGCAAGACAAGGCTTCTCTGTGTAGCCTTGGCAGTCCTGGAACTTACTCTGTAGACCAGGCTGGCCTTAAAGGCAGAGATCCTCCTACCTCTGCCTCCAGAGTGCTGGGATTAAAGGTGTGCACCACAATGCACGGTTGACATAGACATCTGTAAGACATGTTTTGACTTACTCTGTACCCAGTGATGGATGCTTAGTGAGTCCTTGAGGCAGGCTGGCACATCCCCTGACAGAAGGGGCATCTGGACAGAAGACACTAGGAATCATATCTCTCCATTATTCTCATTCTTCCCAGCCTGGCACAAGTTTGCAACCCACTAAACTGTACTTTTCATGAAGATAGCTAGCTATCAAAGTGGCTCAACACAAAATCACAAATGCAATTAAAGTATTATGAGGGTTTTTGTTTTGTTTTGTTTCCAGATAAGGTTTTGCTATATAACAGTCCTGGCTGTCCCAGAACTCGCTCTGTAGACTAGGCTGGCATCAAACTCACAGAGATCCACCTGCCTCTGCCTTCTGAGTGCTGGGATTAAAGTTTATATCACCACTGCCTGTCGAGGTTTTTTTTTTTTAACTTGATTGTACAAGCCTCAAGAATGAACTTTGTGGATGATAGCATCATGTCACAGTGTCAAAATGTTGGAAACAACTGTGATCTTAATCTTTCATTCAGGTCAATAAACAGTGACTAGGGATATGGTGCAGCCGGTAGAGTGCCTGCCTAGTGTGCCCAGATGAGGGATGTTGGTTCCTACACCACCACCTCATAAGCTGGGCCTGTGGTGCACACTTGAAATCCCAGCACTTGGAAGCTGGAGGCAGGAAGTTCAAGGTCATCCTTGGCTACATAGAGGTGAAAGAGATTGAGTGCAAACTATAAAGTAATTCCCAGCAGGCTGTCTGCCCATGCCAACCCTGCAGGCCCAAAGCCCTTCAGAGACCCCAGACTTTCATGGATGGCTTGTCCTTTGAACTTCCTTTCAAGCTGAAACCAGCATGTCTCTTAGCCTGTGCTCACTGACCCCAGAAGCACAGTCATTGTCCTGAGAGCAGCCAGAGGCTGAGATGGCACCAGAAAACTGTTCACTTCCCATAAAGATGTCCTGTTGGGTAACGGGTCCATCCAAATGGAACAGAGGTCCAGCAGAAAACACCCAAGAACTCATTGCCACATTCCTCCTGAGCCACATACAGTTCTTTCACTGTATTGAACAAGCTAAGGTAAGCTAAGAAGTCTCAAGCACGACATTTTTGCTTTAAAAACTAAGGAGTGAGGTGTTTATGCTTCTAGTTCCAGTACTCAGAGGAGTTTGAGGCAGGGAGATTCTCAGCCTAGGCTACATAATCAGACCTTCTCTGTAAAAATCAAAACGCAACAAACAAGCAACAACAACAAAACTCCCAAACAAGGAGGTGGCTGGAGAGATGACTGGGGAGGTAAGAGCACTTGTTGACTATGCATAAGGACCTGAGTTCAAATCCCCAGCAACCAAGTAAAAAGCCTGCCCGACCCTGCCTATGCCTGTAAACCCAGTACTGTAGGAGGTAGAATCAGAAGTGAGGTACGATCAGAAGGCTTTGCTGGTATAGACTCTTTCTTAAGAGACCTTGTCTCAAGGTAATAAGCACAGAGTGGTAGAGGAGGACACCCAGCATCCTCCTTTGGCCTCTGCACATGTGCACAGGTGTCTGCATCTGTACTTGGGAGCACACCACATGCTCTCTCTCTCTCTCTCTCTCTCTGTCTCTCTCTGTCTCTCTCTCTCTCTCTCTCTCTCTCTCTCTCTCTCTCACACACACACACACACACACACACACACACACACACCACCACCACCACCACCACCACCACCACCACCACCACAAAATAAGGGTCCCAGCTTTTAACACACACAAGGGAGAACAGCTTGAGAGGAAAGGGGCAGCCCCTGGGGTACACAAGCCCTGCCCTTTCAGAGCAGCCAAGGCTGCTTTCCTTCTGCCTCAGGGCACACCAGCTAGAAAAGCCTTAGGGGCCAGACAGACACGTGACAAGAGCCCAGGGAAGGAGCCTTTCAGGGCAAGGCCACAAACACAGATTTAGGAGAAACTCATTGCAAATCCTGAGACCCAAAGGGCCACATTAACCTGAGAGAATACTGCACCTTGGCCTTTTTATGAACTCAACCCAGTACAGGCTCCACCGGGTCCTCTGCATCCATTCAGCTGGCCCTGTTCTTCTGAAAGGATCTGTCCCTGCACCTTGCAATTTTGGATTGTCTGCAATTTTAAGCTGGGTGTGTCACTACTGTCTCCTTGAATCAGGATCATCAGGAACAGCTTCCAAACACAGCAGTATTGGGCACAAAATTCAGATCTCCAGTTTACATAAATGCCTGGTGGGATGACAGCTAGCCTGTAATTCCACCCTTGTAAGGCTGAGATAGGGGATCCTCAGGGCAAACTGACTAGTTAGACCAGCCAGATGGACGAGCTCTGGGCCTGATTTAGAGGCCTGTCTCAAAGAATGAGATACAAGTGTGATCAAGGAAGACTCCTGACATAGACCTCAAGTCTCCATTGGCCCTCACACCCATGCACACACTACATTTAAACACACTCATGAAAAGGAAAGGAAAAACAAAAAGATAGACAGAGCGTGAGGAAATGACATTTGCAGCTATACTGTGGTCTCCATGCGCTTATGCACACGTGCAGATGTACCCACAGGTGCAGGCACATGTGCACCCATGTATACACTTGTGGAGGCACGTGCATGCATGTGCACGCACAGACACAAACACACACAGAGACAGAGACTTACACACAGAGACACAAATACGCACACAGACTTACACACAGATACACACAGACACACACACACAAATACACATACAGAGTTACACACAGAGACACACACACAAATACACACACAGATATACACAGACTTACACACAGATACACACAGACACACATACATACACACACACACACAAATACACATACAGACTTACACACAGATACACACAGACACACACAGATATACACAGACTTACACACAGATACACACAGACACACATACATACACATACACACAAATACACATACAGACTTACACACAGATACACACAGACACACACAGATATACACAGACTTACACACAGATACACAGACACACATACATACACATACACACAAATACACATACAGACTTACACACAGATACACACAGACACACACAGATATACACAGACTTACACACAGATACATACAGACACACATACATACACATACACACAAATACACATACAGACTTACACACAGACACACATACAGACACACACACACAAATACACATACAGACTTACACACAGATACACACAGACACACACAGATATACACAGATACACACAGAGATACACACAGACACACATACAGACATACACACAAATATACACACAGATACACACAGACACACACACAGACACACACAGACATACATACAGACACACACACAAATACACATACAGACTTACACACAGAGACACACACACAAACACACACACACATGTGCGTACACACTGCTTTATATAGAAAAGGTTCTATTAAAAAGGCAGATTATTCTGGCCTTTTGCCAGCCCCTCCCCCACATCCCTGTCTGCTGCCCAGGGCAAAGGGCTTCTGTGCTCTGTGCAAGCTGGGGACTTTGAATGTAGGCCAAGTTCATGCAGAAGGGTAGAGCTGAGCGTGGGCTTGTATTCTCCTCAGTGTCCTCACTAAGAGCAGGGTGAAAAACCCCAGTGAC